GGCACATCTATGAGTTCGAATACCTTCATCCCCTCTGAATAAACAACCTTCTGCACAACACAACAACAATAAAAATTTGAGTTTTCAATAATACACATCCACAAGACCAAGAGTATCGTTAAGCTAAAATGACAACAGGTTTTACCAAGATTAGGTGTTTCAGATTCGAGAAACTCTCAAGAAAGGCTGGCAAAAACTGTAACAAGTCGCACGGGAACACGGCTTGTAAACGGGATAGGTTATTGAATTTGGGAATCAGCAGCAGTAAAGATGAAGGGCCTGCAACAATAAGAAAGGAGTAAGAATACTAATGAGAGGTTTCCAATTAGACAAAGTCCATCAATTCTTGTATATATACATACCTTCACTGTTTTCTGAGAGAGGATCATATGTCTTACACTTGATATCCCAGTGAGAAAATTACGGATTTCGTTTCTCTTTGATACGTCTTCGGGATCAAAAAACCTGTTAAACTTGGCAAAGAATTCAATATCAAGGTCAATCGTGAGCAAAGAAGTTAGGTTCTTCACCACATATCTATCGAAATGATCTTCTTTGAGACTCATATACTCTAGCCCTGGAGCATCAGTCTCAAGTGTGGATTCCACTCTCGATCTGCAAAAGCCATTATGCCTGAACGGAACACAAAACCTCTTCAGGCTCCGAGATGTCACACACGTAACCGGAAACTCATCATCCATATCCCTCACCAAGATCAGTTCTTCAAGAACAGGACATCCTAAGAAGAGTTTCTCCAGATTCATATGCCGTCGGATTTCTACAAGATGCAAGAATTTGAGACAAGGCATAGAAACAAAACAAGGATCATCAAGACCCGAATACGAGAGCTTCAAAGAAACCAATGTCTTGCTCGTATAGAGATTCGGAGGCATGAAATCGATAAACGGATAGAGAAGGCCCTCATCATCTCTATAACAAGTGTTGCTCTTAACAACTAGATGTTCAACTCCGCGGCTAATCGCTTTACGGATCCGCTCCTTGAACCCATCTATCTGCACACTCTTGCTCTTTAGCTTGAGTTTTTGCAGGCGTAACTCAGGGTTAAACTCGAGAAATCTGTCAATGAAGCTGAATAACAATTGGTCTTTTTTACAAGGGAAATCGAAGAAGTTCAAGTCAAGTACGGGAACATTAAGCCACAGATTCTTCCATCTACTCGATAAAACGCTCGTCTTCACCGAAACTTTAGTCGGAAGGTAAGAGAGTATTTGAGTTATCAAAGATTCCGGCAATTCGCTAATTCTATCGTACCCAAGCATCGCGAGATGAAACCCTAAGTTCATGAAACAAACATCAACATCATCATTAAACAAAAGTCCTAATCGAATCCTAGGCGATTAGGGTACAAGGAAATTCAAATCAAGTATGTAATCGATGAATCGAGGGACGAATCTGAGTTTTGAAGAACTCACCGTGGATTTGATTCGCCGGCGGATTATTGGCCGGAGTTCTCGCTTAAGAGGCTAAAGGTTTCTTTGATTCAAAAAAATATTTATAATAGACTTTTTTTTTTAAGAAAAACGTTTTGTGATTCCAATTTAATTTTAAAGAGCGTTTTTTAAAAAACGTTTTGCCATTATTAATTCCATTAGATGATAACTTTGGTATTTTTATAAAATATCCGTTTTTTACAAGATTGTTTAGCTTCTTACATTTTTCATAGTGTATATGATTTCTTCTTCCAAAATTATGTACCATTTAAAATTATTTTACTTAATTATTTGTGTTATATTGGAGTATAATTGGTCAAAAACGGTTTAAAACAAAAATATAGAAATAGTTTATATAATACCAGCAAATTCATCTTACACATTTTAATTTTATAAAAGTAAAATGGAAAAGAGTATTTAATCGCATCTAATTATCTTTTTCGTTTGCTAGGAAAAGAAAAATTTCTTGTAACGTCAAAAAGGAAGAAAGGTTGTTTCCATGTGTGTATAGTTGCGAAAGATTGAGTGTAGGTAAACAGTAATAGTACATATGCATCGGCATTGTATAATTTTTTTTT